GGAAACTTTCCTACTTTTACCCACAAATTTTGCTGTCGGGCGGGGAAGACATAAAACAGGAGAAACCCCGAAAAGTCAGCTCAGTACAAACTCTCCCACCAGAAGCTGAAATACGACTCCCCTCCTCCCAAGAACAAGCAAATACGACCCCCCCCCCTTTTACACCGTCCTTGGAACAAAAGAAATCGACTATCAAAAAAATTTTCTCAGCCTAAATACGACCCCTGTCTCCCAGCAAACAAGTACGGCTTTCTGCTTTTGTACTTCCTGAAACCACCCATTTTTACTAGTTCTCTTCAACTTTGCTAGATGTTGTGAAATCGAAACAAGAAGGCGTCTTGAATCTGAACCTCCTTGTCCAAGAGAAAATTCATTCCAAATGGGCGGCTCTCCTGCGACTACATATACACCGGTTATTCTGTGGAGTACTCATTCTCAATTTTCAGGCAGCAGGAGTCATGAATTTCACGAAAGGTTTACCCAACTTCGTTGGCCATGGGAAGCGAAGCAACAATGGGATAAGGAAAATGCATGGCCACCAATGGTTCATATGGTTATTGAGGGTTTTCGTACCACTGGTGAACCGGATCTCATGAAGGTAAGAGAGCAACCGGCACAGACAATTGCATCGAGTTTTGCAGTCGCGAGTTTCTTGACCCTACCAAGTACAATAGAGAGGCTTTATTTTTTTTAACACAGTCATTCTAGATGTTACGTTTTCAGGTCGCTGAAAAAATGGCAACATCTTGGCTAGCGGTTACTTACCAAGCTTTTATCCGAACGCACGCTATGTTCGAGAAATATAATGTGACAACGCTCACCGAAGAAATGTCAGCCGGAGGTGGTGGAGAGTACGAAGTTCAGGTATGAAGTTCCCTTGCATTGTTGAATTCCATATACACTTGAAAGCACGGCCTCCACTATGTTGTAGGCAGGCAAACCCTGTGCCTTACTCGTTGGCGAGCCCTCATGAAATTAACTAGAGCCTATGTGTTCAATAGGAAGGAAGAACCTCGCCTCGTGCAAAGAAACGTGAAAATAGGACTATGCGTTGTTGCTGCTGTTCCGTTATTCCCGAATCCAGTTGAACCCCTTTTGTTCTGTAGTATTCACCGCCCAACTCGTTCTAAATTAACCCTATAATGTGGCTGCATGCCTGCACTGCTCGCCAGCACAAAAGCTGAATTCCACCAGTTGCGATATCAGCGCGGGGACTTGAAGGTCGTAACCTACGTACCAGAGTTTGATTCTCCTACTTCTCATTGTGTCGATCTGTGTCGATGGCGTCCACCAAGTAAAGTAAAAGTACGAAAATCGAAAGCCACAGATTAGGCTTGGCGCAGATATTGCCCGTCATATAAATCTCGTTGTAGAGTAGTGACACTCCTGTTCGCTGCGGATGACGGGGCGTGTTAGAGAGGCAGAGTTTGGCGCGCTGCCCCCCCCCCCTTCTCCAGTTATTGAAGCGAGTAAGCGATAGTAGCGGGTGGAAAGCGGCTGATACGAACACTATCGTACAGGTTTGTCGCCTGCTGAAATCATACTCTATATGTAAAGCAGAGCTAGTTGT